CCGGAGAGAAGGGGAGCCGATGTGAGGTTATGTAGGCAATCAAGGTTTTGGCTCCCCTTGCACACAGGGCCCAGGGAGCAGCGGTGCGCTAGCATGAGGCTGCTGGGCTTGGGGAGGCAGACAACAGCGGTTTTGCGGCGGGGTGGTGGAGGGGCCATGAGTAATGCGCTGCTAACGCGTGTCAAGTAAACAAACACAGTACAAATCCCGTAGTAAACAGCTGTTTGCACAATACACACCACCCCTGGAAAGGTCACCGGTGCATCATGGGATTGAGCAACGCTCTGTTTACACAATTGCTCCCGTACTCCAGCTCAGGAAATGCAAAGCACTGGTGAGGCAGACTCAGGGATGTAACGCTGCCCTAGGACGTGTGGCTGAAACACCAGAGATGTTTAAAGGGGAGATGTTAGGGTGGGGAAGCCCTCAGCAATTACCTGTCTCAAGCGTGGCTGTTCCCTAGAACAGTGTTTCTCAACCAACGGTACGAGTACCCTCAGGGGTACTTGAGAGACGTCTTGGGGGTATGTCAACACCACTGAAATTTGGAGAAAACTGAATTTTTGTTTATTATTTTTGTACTTTTTACACCCAAAAATTTCATCGCCTGCCTGGCTACAATTGAGTTGTTTAAACAACTGTGTTGCAATGGTAGAAAAAAAATTGTGTGTCTGAAAACTATAGGTAGTGGGGTACTTATAATTTTTGTAAAGGGGTACTTTATAAAAAAAGGTTGAGAAACACTGCCCGAGAGGCCGTCAGCATCCAGAGTAGGTCACTGGCTACAAATCAGTGAAGATTTGTTTCTAGCATTTGTATCACCAAAGTCACCATAAACTGGTACCCTCATTGGCACAGAACACAGTCCCGCCCACACACAGAGAAGTCAGCCTCTTGCCGGAAGGTTGCAACATACCACAACTTAATGTTTCAGAATTCAGAACAATAATACCCTGGAACCCAATCCAGGAAGAGACAAAGCAGACTGCTCCCCAAACCAGAGAGGCCCAACTCACTCCATTTTACACCAGGTTGGTTGCTTCCAGACTGACTCCAATTGCGCACTTCATTACAGAACCTGCTAGCCTGCAAGCACGACCAAGGAAAAAAACCTGAAATTTAAAGTGACCCCCGACAATTTTCAATATACCTCAGCTGACTGTCTCAGAGACTAGCAAAGCTTTGAAAGGGCCCAGAAGATAACACCTCTCGGAGTGCTGGAGAGCCTGTGCTAAAGAAGATTTAAGGATTATTTATTTAAATCTGTTTCTGTCTTATCACTTCCAGAACCCCTCAGAAACAGTTTAAAGATACGTCTAGACTGGCATGATTTTCCGGAAATGCTTTTAACGGAAAAGTTTTCCGTCAAAACATTTTCGGAACAGAGCGTCTAGATTGGCACGGACGCTTTTACGCAAAAGCAGAAAAGCATCCATGGCCAATCTAGATGCGCTTTTGCGCAAAAAAGCCCTAATGGCCATTTTCGCGATCAGGGCTTTTTTGCAGAAAACAAATCTCAGCTGTCTACACTGTTTTGCGCAAAAAGGACTTTTGCCCTAATGGGAGCAGCATAGTATTTCCGCAAAAAGCACCGATTTCTTACAGTAGGAAGTCAGTGCTTTTGCGAAAATTCAAGCGGCCAGTGTAGACAGCTGGTAAGTTTTTCCGGAAAAGCGGCTGATTTTCCGGAAGAACTGGCCAGTCTAGACACAGCGCACGTGTTTTAAGTCTCAGCTTGACAAAGCCCTGGCTGGGATGGTTTAGTTGGGATTGGTCCTGCTTGGGGCACACGGCTAGACTTGATGACCTCTTGAGGTCTCTTGCCGCCCTATGAGTCTATGATTCTAAGTGCAGACTGTTTGGAGAATCAGTGTTATCTCCAGTTCACACCAAGGGGAAGTGAGATTCACCCAAGAAGAACTATTGAGCAGAAAATCCTCCCACTATGCCCGGAAAACTAGTCGGAACTGTAATTAAATGGAATTCAGAAAGGCCTAGAATGGACAGATCCAACAGGGACAAACCAGCCCTGCTCTGTAAGGCCATGTCTACACTAGGAAATTATTTCAAAATTACTAAATTCGACTTAGTAACTCCCGGTTTTACAAAATCGAAATAGCGTGTCCACGCAACAGGGAAATTAGTCTGAGGCAGGCTCCGTTAATGTGGATGCACTACAAGTATCAGAGGGGTAGCCGTGTTAGTCTGAATCTGCAAAAGCGACAAGGAGTCCTGTGGCACCTTATAGACTAACTGAAGTGTAGGAGCATAAGCTTTCATGGGCAAAGACCCACTTCGTCAGATGCATGTACATGTCTTTGCCCATGAAAGCTTATGCTCCTACACTTCAGTTAGTCTATAAGGTGCCACAGGGCTACCTCAGACTTGGAGCCCCAGGAAGCACTGGGGAGTAATTAATTCAAACTACTCTGGGGAGTCGTTATTTCGAAATAGCAGTCCTGGAGCATCCACACTGCTGCTATTTTGAAATACCGATTTCGGAATTAGCATTACTCCTGATGAAAAGCAGGAGTACAGATTTTGAATTAAGCGGCCAGTTAATAGTGTGGACAGTCCACTTATAAATTCGACCTGAGGGGGCTTACTTCAAAATAAAGTCCTAGGGTGTGTCTAGACCAGTGGTCACCAATGAGTAGATCAGGATCTACCGGTAGATCTTAGAGCCTCTGACAGGTGACCCTGATTGGTTTGGCTGGGAGACTATCAAGCGCTGGCACTTCAGCTGCCCCTCCTACCACTGCCCAGCTGTTCCTGCTCAGAGCCTCAGAGCCGCCCCTGGTAGCTGCCTGCTTGTTGTGCAGGGTGGGGGAAACTGAGGCAGGGGGCATTGATGTCACTCTGTCCTTCTCACCTGTACCCCATATTCATAGAGTGAGGAGAATGGATCCTCAGCAAAGGGGCGGGGCAGGGGTATTTGGGTTTGAGGTAGATCCTGGACTAACTTAAATTCAAAAAGTGATCTTGTGCTTAAAAAGATTGGAGACTACTGGTCTAGACTACATGGCTCCATCGACGGAGCCATGTAAACTAGTTTACCCGACATAGTCAATGAAGCGGGGATTTAAATAATCCCCGCTTCATTAAAATAAAAATGGCCGCCGCCGCGCTGTGCCGACGATCAGCTGATCCTGCACAGAGCGGCAGTCAAGACGCGGACCGGTCGACAAGGGAAGCCTTTGTCGACCGCTCCTGTAAACCATGTAGCAGGAGCCATGTAGTCTAGACACACCCCTAGTGTAGACCAGCGCAAAAAGAAATCTATACCTCTCCAATCCACTGGCGTTCTTGGAGAGAGCAAACCAGGTCATGCGGTTGATTTGGACTTTAAACAGCTGTTGATAAAGCCCCTCACAAGCGGCTGTTAAGGAGACGAAATCAAAACCTGGGAGGAGAGACTGACTATTGTCATGGCTCAGACACTGGCAAAGAGGTGGGACATGAAGGATGTCACCATGGCCAAGGACTGGCAGTAGGATGTTGCCACAGAGCTGGCTGAGCACACGCTGTGCCGAGGAGATGTGGTCTCAAACCCACAGGCTGGCTCTCCTCTTTTCTCAGCAGCCTTTCCTAGGGCCGCGCGCTCCTCACCATGGTGCAGGAAATGCTGGGTGTTTGGAAAACACGAGCTGAGCTTAGCGGGTGGGGGCTGAGTGGGCTGGGTGGCCCTGATACATGGGAGGTCAGACCAGATGATCCGATTGTCCCTTCTCCCCGTAGACCAGGGGTAGGGAACCTAAGGCCCAGGGCAGCCACTTGATTTCCACGTGAGTGACACCTGAACTGCCCTCCCCTTATCATCCTAAGTCCAAGTCATCAGCGGGGCGGCTGAGCACACGCTGTGCCGAGGAGATGTGGTCTCAAACCCACAGGCTGGCTCTCCTCTTTTCTCAGCAGCCTTTCCTAGGGCCGCGCGCTCCTCACCATGGTGCAGGAAATGCTGGGTGTTTGGAAAACACGAGCTGAGCTTAGCGGGTGGGGGCTGAGTGGGCTGGGTGGCCCTGATACATGGGAGGTCAGACCAGATGATCCGATTGTCCCTTCTCCCCGTAGACCAGGGGTAGGGAACCTAAGGCCCAGGACTTGCTTAGGTCCAGCCCCCGAGGCTCAGGGCTCCCATCCAGCATTAGGGAGCCCGTGAGGGCGCTTCAGCCTCTCCACCGCCCACCGTGTGGCTGGAGCCCACAAAATCTACCAGCCCAGGCCCCCCTAGGCGCTGGCGTCCGAGGAGAACGGGGGGAGTGTTTCTCCTTCTCTGTCAGGGTCCACATCAGTGAGGGGTTTTTTGTTTTGTTTTGTTTTGCTTCTCACTTGCATGTGGCCTCCGACCCAAAAAAGGTTCCCCACCCTGGCCTTAGACTCTGTGGCTCTATGACTTGCCCCAGGGGGGCCCCGCCCACGGCTGCTCCACCCACTCTTTCTGGAGAATCCTGAATGTAGGCCTTCCCCATTCAGTCTGGAAAAGACCCGGGAGCAGAACCGAGGGGGATCAGGAGAGTCACCCAGGGCAGGGAGGGGCAGCTCTCCAGTAGGGACCCTGCAAGGCTATTCTCCAGTGTGGGGTGAGGGGAGAGCTGGCACCAAGAGCTCTGGATGGGCATGAGCCTGGGAACAAAGGTGGAGTCTGGGGGATGGCCGGGCACTCCCTGACATGACACCGGCTGGTGAGCAGGGCGGCTGTGAGCTCTCCGCATGTGATGCTGCGTTGAGCGGTGCACGGGGCTGTACAAACAGGGACACTAAACGCACATGTCCAACCCCCTTCCAAAGTCTGTGCTGTGCTCCAGAGCCCCTTTGTAGCTGTATGCCTCCGGCCAGCCTCTTAGAGGCGAGGCCAACCTGGCTGGCTCTAGCAAGTCACAGAAAACCGGTTCAGTATTGCCCCAACCCAGCCACAGCTGAGCTCCCTGACAAGTGCGGGGGGCAGGGGAGGATGAGGAGCCCGGAGCCCTTTCTCCGGCCGCTGGCTGCCTGTGCTGTGCTCCTTCCTTCCTGCCCGAAAGCCAGGCAGAGACAGCCTGCGGGGAAGCGTTTTGCAATCACCTTTTCTGAAAGTCAGAGCAATTAACGGCACTGGTTGGTGGCTTGGGTCTTTTTTTTTCCTCCTTCCTTTCTTTTTTGAGGAACTAACGGTGAAAGCAACATGTTCGTGAAGCGCTGGAACACTCTGCTCTCCTGGGAGCCAGGGGCCGGTCCCACAAAGGAGCAGTGAGCCAGGTTGTGCAGCACGAAGCGCTGCAATGAGGTAAGGGAGCGAGAGCCTGCCGGCTGGGTGCCGACTCAAACGCCCGTCGCCTGGAACGTCCGCCAGGATCCCGATGCGCTGAGGTGGGCTCCGTCCTTGGCCAGAGCGGCTCCGAGCGGCTCGTCCCCCTTTAACGAGGTGGTGAACGATGCTGTCTTGTGAATCCAGGCATCCTGGTATCAAGCGCCTGCCTTCCTGCTGCTGCGGCTCACCGCTGTTCCGCAGCCGCTTGGAGTCTGCCGGGTCCTTCGGAGCGGTGACGTGCGATCCCTGAAACAGGGGCCAGTCCCAGAGCCGGGCTGTGGAGATGGAATAATCTGTTCTCCCACACCAGGCTTTGCACCCCCATGGACCCCGCCCCGGGGTTTCCTTTTGTGGGAGTCAGTGGGGCTGCCAGATAGCCAGCCCCACACCCAAACTGGTGGGGATCAGCAGCCAGGAGACGGTGAGTGAGTCAGAACCCAGAGCCCAGCAGGGAGCAGTGGGGATGGGGAGGACTGGAAAGAAAAAACTGAAAACAGCCAAGAGGTGAACTAGACCACAGAGGCCCCGTGGCCTGCAGATGTGGCTTGTCAAGTGGGGAGGAATTTCCTCATTCATTCTTTCATGAGAACAGCCCCAGTCCCCCCCTGGAGCCACTTTAAACCCACCCGGCGCGTGGCACCGGAGGTGGAACCACATCTGGACACAAGGGCGGCCGTCCCGTCTCTGCCGGAACCAGGGGATCTGCCTGCCTTGTGCGTGGCTGAGCAGAGCTCTGAGCTGGCCGTGGGGGTCGGGCTGATGGCCAGAGATCGTGCTTGCTTCTCCCCACACATGCTCATGCCTCAGGCTCTGGTTTCCTCTGGAGTGCTTGCCCCCTCTCTGTGCTCTTTGCCAGCTCAGGGTGGCAGCACCAGGGTTTCAGGAGGTGGGAGGGGTTGCTCCCTGCAGTCTGGCAGGGCAGAGATTTGGTTGTAGAGGCTGCCAACTCCTTGCAGCAGCAGGGACAGGCTCTTACTAAGGGTGTGCCTACCCTGCAGCTGGGTGCAAGCTCCTTGCCTGGATGGAGACTCGCACTTGTGAGGCTCGAGCTAGCACGTTAAAAACAGCAGCCTGGGCATCGTGGCTCTGGCAGAGAGCAGAGCCAGCCACTGGAGCGCGGCCCCCTAGTCTAAACCTGAGCCAGCCTGCCGCTGGAAGCTCTGGGAACGCCCTCCTGTGCCACGTCTGGAGGGGACACAGGTCGGCACCAAGCGATTGGTGCTCCGTGTTGCTCTCCCCTGATCCGAACAGCGTGGAAACGCTTTCCTGCAATTGACCAACCGCCTCAGTCCTGGAGTGGAGGTGTCAGATTATCCCTGTTAGCGCATGTGTGTATGTGTGTGTGCCAGTGAGAGACAGAAAGAGGTGTATATGGGTTGAGGGGGCTCTGGAGATAGATAGATAGATAGATAGATAGATAGATAGATAGATAGATAGATAGATAGATAGATAGATAGATAGATAGATAGATAGATAGATAGATAGATGTATGTACTGGGTTCATCCATCTATCATGTATGACTGTATCAGGCAAGGTTCATCTGAGCATTCTCCTGTTTCCACAGCCATTCTCCTGGGCCTGTCAAGGTGACTCGGTGTGTGAATTGCAGGTGATACCGAAGTGCAGGATCCGATCATGGCTGTGCACGGCAAGTCTGAGATGCTGCTGGGGTACTCCACACTCTTCCTTCTGCTCCTGGCAGGTGAGTTTCAAAAGGAAGCAAGTTCCCAGATGGGAAATCCCTGACTCCCGAACTCCGCCCCGGACACACACGAGGTCACTTCTGTGGCCAGCGTCCATATCGGACCGACAGCGGCCGCAGGGGACCAGCCTGTCCGAGGGATGGTTAATCCGCCTCAGGTCGGAGAAGAGGGGTGGGGCGTTTCCCTGCGCTGGCTGTACCGGACATGCTCTGTCGATAAGTGGAGAATTCCCCACCTTGGGAAGTTCCTCAGCAACAAATAAAAGCAACAGGATAGCGTCTCGGGGCTTTGAAAGGGACGCTCCCCACTGACGTGACGGTGGGCTGAGCAGGGTCCAGCCATGTCCCACAGCTGTGGGTGCTCTGCCAACCAGCAGGGCGGCACCTGAATTTCTCCTGGGCGGCCGCCCAAGTGCTCAGGCAACACCGCCTGCCGCGCAAACGTGATGGTCTCTCTCCCTCTGCAGGGGCTCGCGCCTGCGGCTGGGTAACGGTGAACTCGTCCACCGTTCTGCTGGGCTCCACCGTCATGGCCTCTTGCACCATCCAAAGCAACCGCTGCCAGAGCTTGGAAGATGAGGAAATCCAGATCACATGGAGGCTCGACAGCCAGGCCGTGCCAGGGAGCCAGCACAAGAACGTGGACGGAGCAGACGTGTCCAATCTCACCATCCCCCATTTCAACCGGACCAGGGCCAAGCTGTGGTGCTACGTGGTGTGGAACAGCACCCCGCAGCGCGTCGGCATGGCGGAGATCCGCGCAGGCTGTGAGTCTCCCCTGCCTCTCGCCTTGCCCCAGAGGGAATCGTGTACAGTCCACGGTTACATCGGGACCTTTTCCGGATGGGGCAAATAACCCCTCCCCCTCCCCTTCCTCCCTCCCCCTTGCTATTTGCCTCCCTTTCTGCACACCAAAACTCCTGCGTCTGCGCATGCACGTGGGGTTCCTCTGACCTCCCAATCGGGGCAGGTAATTAGGTGCTGCGTAGATCTGGCCCTGAATACGTATCACTTCTCTCTTGCTTTGGCCAGGGAGGGAGAGACAGCCTGGGGGTGCCTGTTGCTTGGCGCGTGGGGGAGGGGAGACCCGTTTGGCAAAGCACAGCCGCCAGGGAGGGATGGCACGTGGGAGAAGTTTGTGCCGTTGCTGCCTGCCTAGCAGGGGCAACAGGTAAAAGAGACCGGGGAAGGCCTGACCCCACCCAGATTCCACCCTCCGTGTGCTCCAGGACCAGGGAGGCTGGGGCCACACCCCACCCCACTTCCCTGTGTTCCAGGTGGGGGGGCATGGCTCCCGGGTGGGGGGTGAGGCCTGGACAGAAGGCGCAGGGCTGGGGCAGGGCTGGGGGCTTGCCTCCCCCAGCCCTACCATCACCTAGGGCTCCTTTAGACATGTTCCAGGAAATAGGTAGGTAAATAGTTAACAGACACTGGCAAATGGTGTTCCAGGATAGGCAGCTTCACTGCTGGGTTTATCAGGCCCAGTCTTCTGTCCGGCTCTTTACATCAGCTCTTAGCAGGGTGTCAGCCCCAAGCTCCCATTAAAGCCCAGTTGGCATTTGTACAGGATCATTTATGATCAGCACTGAGATACAATGCTGGGGCCAGAGCCCCCTGGTGCCAAACTGTGGTTCCTGCCCCATGGAGCTCTCAGTCCAGGACAAGAGACAATAACTCAATGCGACAGAGAGCAGGGGCAGTGCAGGGAAAAACGAGACCCTGCGGTCGCCCTGGCCAATGCCATTCCTCTTGCCCAGATCCAAGGCACGGTGGGGTCAGTGCTGCTAACATGATGGGGAGATGGGGAGGGTGTTTGTGGCCTTGGGCACAGGCTGGACCATGCCCTCTGCCACATGATCCCCCCCCATGCCTGAACAGCACCCTGCTATGCAGCTACTCTGACCCAGGCACGGAACAGTGGCTGGTGCACTGCCTCCCTTGGGGAGACCCTACTCTGCCACAGACTGCCTGTAGGACCTTGGGTGGGTCACTTAGCCTCTCAGTTCTCTCCCGCGGGTGGTGGGGGGGATAAATATATTCCAAGGTCGAGAGGAGCTCAGTGACGGGTGCTAGCATGCCATACCTAAACCATTCAAACCTGGAAGGTCTGCCCAGCACATCTCAGATCCTTTCCCTCCATCGCTTTCTGCCTAGATCCCCCATCAAAGCCTGACAATCTGACCTGTATGATGAACCTCACTGATAACAGCCTGACGTGCCGCTGGGACCCCGGGCTGGATGGACACCTTCCGACCAAAGTGGTTCTGATGAGCTCCAGGTAAGAGACGAGCCTTAGACTCGTGCATGGCCTCCTCTCCGTCTGTGAGTCAGGCCTGTTTGCCCACAGCACGCCACTCATGGAGCACGAGCTGTTGGCATGGAGAACCCACGAAATTAGAGGGAGAAGGACCCGTCTGGATCCTCTCCATCGCTTCAGCAAAGCGTGTTCCTGAGAAGTAGATTGTCTAGGGCGGAGTCCAGTTTGCTTTTAAAAGCCCCGCACAAGAGGCCTCCAGCACGCCCTCTGAGACTGTCTGGGGGCGTCCAGTGCCAAGGTAGATACCACTCGGTACCAGCCCCTTGCGGTGTGGCCTCGGAGGTGTCCTATGGCCACAGAGTCCCAGGGTTCAGCATCGCCTGTTGGTACCTTGTGCAACAATAACAGCTCCACACTGTGTACTGTAACCAGCTCCCTGGGACCAGATTACCACACTCACTAGAAGCCCGTTGGAGAACTCCAGATACCACATGGCAAACTGGATTCTAGGCACCCTGCGTAGAGCAAACTCAGAACCACTGGGACTTATCCCCACCTCCCCTTGACACCCGGCCTCTGGGACTGCACCTCGGAAAGCTGCTGCCGGGAAGCGCCCTTCTCTTCCTGAGGCCAGCTTTGATTCCTTGCAAGCAGTCTGCTCAGCTTAGATCTTCCTTCAAGAACTGTATTTCCCCTGCCTCTAGCTTAGCCATGGGCATCGCTCAGAGGGTGCTTCTGAACCTGCACAGAATCTGCCCTGGATTGCCAAGTCCCTGGCTGCAAGGCTGTCTTTATCCATATGCAGAATACGCAGCTGCGTAGGGCACCTAAAAATCTGGGGCACCCCTGGGTCTTAATGTCCACCCACCTGCCTCTTCCTAGCCCTGTTCTATGGCTCTGCTCCCTCCGGAGAGAATCTCATTAACCTAACAGTGAAAAAGCTGGGCCAGAGCTATTAGCAGAACATCAAACCTGTGAAAGAGCCATTCAAGTGGTAATGAAGCCATTTAAGAGGCATTTGCCAACCCCAGGTACATACTGTCAATTTCCAAATGTGTTAGTCAACAGGATTTGAGTTTAAAATTTGCTTTAAAAATATTTCATTAGTGTGTCGCTAAAGATGATAAAATCACATCTCTAAAATCATAAACACTTCGCCCTCTGCCATCAGGCACAAGGGCACCAGTTAAATAGCCCTGCATAGGCCCCAGAAATCCTAAGGATGGCCCTGTGTGGGTGTGTCCACTGGCCACAAGTCGAGAGGAAAGAGAGGAAGGTACCTCGGGCTGATGGCTCTCCAAGGAGCACATGCAGAACTGGTGGTGGCACCTACAAACTGACCCTGTCTCCTTGTGCTGCAGGAGCAGAGGCCAGTGTGAAGTTTCCCAGGAGGCGCCCCAAAACTGTACCCCGCAAGCCGGACAGAACTACTGCACCATTTCCCGCAAGTTCCTCCAGCTGTACCAGAAAATGGACATCTGGGTGTCAGTCCAGAATGCCCTGGGCACAGCCGAGTCTGAGCATCTCTGCATCGACCCTACAGATGTAGGTGTGTAACTGGGCTGGGGGCTTCCTTTGTAGCCTCCGAAATCAGAGCAGAGAGAGTGAGTGAGTTCACTAGGTCACACTTTAAGGTACGGTTCCATTTACAAATGGCTTGCAAAAGGTTAACAAGGAATTCCTAGCTGTTCTAAACATGTGGGCCGGGTGTGTTAAAGTGGGTTCCATGCCTCTCAGCACAAAATGTTATGGAGGATTATAAGCAACCTGTTGACTGCCTGGTCTCCCATTCACTGAGCTGTGTGTAGCTTGGACGTCTGTCCCGCCCATCAGCAGCAGCCAATCCAGTCAACGATATGACCTCACCTATCTTGTGTCTCTCTGGTACTGAAACATCAGCGAGTCATTTATGAACCCTTGGGAAACTACTGATCCCTGGAACCTTCTTATCAAATGTGACGTATCATTAGTGCAATTATTTTGCCATTTAAGGGCCTGACTTAAAGCTAGGGTTGCCAGATGTCCAGTTTTGAACCGGACAGTCCAGTAGCTGAGCTTTCTGTTCAGAAAACAAATTGAGAAAAATAGAAATGGGAAAATAGAAATGTCCGGTATTTTCTAAATAAGATGTCATGTAGATTGTGATGTAATGTCAAGTGTGTCCGGTATTTTTGTTGAAACCATCTGGCAACCCTACTCGAAGCCCATCAAAGTCAGGACAAGTCTTTCCATTGAGTCAGCAGCTCCTAAGTGCTCAATTCTTCAGGTGAAATCCTGGCCTGATTGAAGCCACTGGCAAAACTCTGATATAGTGTATAAGCACCTGGGATTTCTGTTACCAGAGCCCCTAGGTCAGGGCTGGGCAAGATGAGGCCCAGGGGTGGATCCGGCCCACCTAACTCTGATCCGGCCCGCGGCCTGCATCTGGCCACTTTCTATTTATATCCTGCTGCCCAATGCCACCGAATTTCCAGGTCGTGGCTCAGGCAGCAGGATCCTATTTAAATAGCTCCCCCTTGTGGTGCTACCCTGGCAGGTGCTGGAGCCGCGAGCCCTTTCAATAGCGGTAGCACCCCCCGGAGGCTGCCAGGCAATGCAATAACGACGGAGCCAGAAGCCCTTCGCTGTGTTTTTAATTCAAAGCCTCTGTCCCCAGAAAAGTCTTGGGGGGGGGGGCGCTAATCCCCAGCCCCTCCCCTTCCACCACTGGCCACACCCCTTTGGATGGTGAAGCCGGCCCATGACAAAGCTGCTGATGTGTGAGTCCCTGCAGCGCTGGTGGGGGGAGAGGGGTCTGTACTCACCACGATGGCAGGAGCCGTGGGGAAGCGGAGTAATGAAGCAGCCGCTGCTCTGCTCCGCCACCACCTCCCCGGCCAGCCTGGTTGCTCCACTTCCCCAGGGCGGCGGGAAGCAGAGCGCCCCAGTCCCAGAGCGGGCTTGCCTGGGAGATGGTTGGCAGAGCACAGCAGCCTTCCTC